GCTGCGTGGCCCCATAGCCATGGAGACCTCCACCGAGGGTCCCAGTGGCGCAGCCCGCATGCGCCCCCGCCACCCATTTCGGCACACCCCTCACACGTTTCGTGGCCCCCTGGGGAGCTCCACCGAAGGTCCCAGTGGCGGAGCCCGCGTGCGTCCCCGCCTTTTCTTGGCTGCCGGACATGGCAGGGCCGTTTTTTCACCGTTTCTGGCAAAAAATGTCCCTTGAAAATGGAAGCGGCAAAAAAAGGTGACTGGAAACGGCAAAAAAAACGGCTCCAGGATTGGAACCGGAGCCGGAACCGGTCCAAAAACGGCGACGGAACCAATACAAAAACGAACAATGTCGGCACACCCCTCACACGTTTCGTGGCCCCCGGGTTTTTGAAGCTGTGGTCCGTAGGACGCGGTTGCTGCACAGTTGCGATGTGTTTTCCGTAACAGCTTTTTGGACGCGGCGACACCGTGGAGGGCGCTTGTTTGAGTCGTGGTTTCGCTTTGTGCTATTGGAAATGTATTATGGCCGTTGCTCCACCGCCACCTCGACCACCTCCACTTCCACCGTCATCCTCCTCGTCTTTCTCCTCGCCCCTGTTTCTGTTGCCGTCCTTGTCCGTTTCTGCGCGGGATTTTCCCAACGAACGTTCCGCTCCTCATCATCATCATCACAGCCACTTGGGCTCAAGCACGTGCTTGAGGTGTGGCCACCTGGCTGCCCTTGCGGCCCCTCTCGCTCGCTCTGCTCCCTGTGCCCCTTGGCTTGTGCGATGGTGTCGGTTTCCCGCTTTGCGTGGGCGATCCAACAACTGGAAGTTGGACGGCAAGCCTCTGCGCGCGTGCACATACACACCAAGACAAACTGGCCGTCAAGATTCAAAAACTGCCGCTGTACGCCACCTCGGTGTGCATCGGCCTCCGGATGGGGATGCTGCGCATAATCATGATGGACCTCGACCAGGCGATCGTGGCCGGTCTTGTCCATCGGGATTCCAAGGGCGTTTCTCATTTCAGCTCCGTTGCTGCTCCATTTTCTGTTCACGCAGCTGGTTTTGTCCACGCGCCTGTGCGTCTTCTGCCTGGAGGTGTTGTTTAACATGCTGCTGGTCGCGCTGATTTTCTGGCTGGATATGGAGGTGAATATGATAGTGCTGGATACGCTGACCGAGCGGATCATATTATTTCTGCCTTCGTTGCTCCCGTTCCTCTTCCTCGTGGTGCTGGGGGCGGTTTCCATGGCGGAGCCGTTCATCCTTGATGCGAGGGTGCAGATCTTCGTTGAGATGCTGATGCACTTCGTCGCGGGGTGGCTGGGCGACGCCGACCCTGACGTTCGTGCAGCTGCTGACGGCCGTGGACGCGTTCCTGCTGCTGCCATTCGTGGAGCCGCTGACGTCCGTGATGGGGCTGCTGACTTTAGTGCTGGGGCCGCTGACGTTCGTGGAGACGACGCCTGCGAGGGAGCCGCTGACGTTTGTGGAGGCGCTGACGCTCATGCAGCCGCTGATGTTTGTGGAGACGACGACTTCCGTCGTGGAGATGGCGCCCGCGCTGGTGACCCTCTTCATGGAGGCGCTGACGATCGTGGCGATCGCGCTCGTTCCGCTCTTCGTAAAGGTGCTGGGGACGACCATCTTGGAGATGACTTTCCGCGTGCTGTTGTTCTCCCTCGTGGTGGGGCCGACCACCGCGGGCAGGAAACTCATCGTTCTGGGGCCGGTATATGTGGAGATGTTGTTCGTGCTGAGTGCCGGGATTCGCGGAAGTGCTGACAGTCGTGCGCGCGCTGATCCTCGAGGAAGTGTTGGCGCCGACTACCGTTGCAGAGGGTCGTTTCCGCCCCGCAAGCAGGCGTGCGGCGATGACAGCGAGGACGATGACATGATAAATGAGAGCCTTGGAGGCGCGCACGGTGGCAAGTGCTTTGAGGCCCCCGCTTTTCCAAACGTTGCCGAGTCTAGCTCTGCCGAGGCCGCTCTTGCTCATTCCTCTGCAGCGTCTTTCGAGCATCTGGGTAACGCTGTCCAGCTGGACGGAGAAAGGAATGAATAGGTTGATCAACGTGCTGTTGCGCAAACCACGCATGGCTCCCAACGCTGCGGCCTCAATATGATGCGTTATCCCAGTTTTGCGCTGGACGTAAGAATGTTCTGAGCAGCCGTCTCTGGAAGCGCTTCGGCCTCCCACTGCTTTCGTGGAGAACCATCTGCCAGACAGCTGCGCACTTCGCCACCTGCCAGGACCCCGACAGCTCGACTGGCGATCGCGGCCTTTCTCACACGCTCAAGTACTCGCCCGCTTCCCCGCCTGGGGGAGGGTACAATGTTTTGCAATCCTGGGTTTTTTGGGAATCGTTAGTTTTTTGTGCAATCCAGGGTTTTTTTTGCAATCCTTCGGTTTTCTTGCAATCCTTGGTTTTTTGCAATCCTTCGTTTTTTTTTGCAATCCTTCGTAAAAGCAGCGCCGCCATCGTCGCCCAGCCACGCTTCCAGGTCCCTGCGCCACGCGCCCTGGGGCACGCCGAGGCCGCGCGCGCCGCCCTTGCCGACCCCGCGCCCCCCCGGCAGAGACCCCGGGGCGGGTCACGGCAGAGCAGCTCGAGCAGGATACGACACTTGCGACGCACCCAACCCTTCCTCCTCCTCCTCCTCTTCCTCCTCTTCCTCCTCCTCCTCCTCCTCCTCCTCCTCCTCCTACTCCTACTCCTCCTCCTCCTCTCAGTTGCGCCAAGCGACACGAGGAGCTGGCGCCATGTGCTGCGCGAGCTTCATGATATGCGCGCGCGTTTGGCGCGACTCCTGGGGCAGCCGCAGAAGAACGAGGAGCGAGGCCCCCCAAGGATGGCGAGGTCCCGCTCCGATGTGCGCAGCACCGCATTGAGCTGCACCCCCATAAGGAGCCCACGAAAACGGCGACAGCGCCGCTGCTCGCAGCCCTCCAGAGATGGCGAGGTGCAGCTCCGATCTGCACGGCACCGCGCTGAGCTGGCCCCCCTCGCCCCCCTCAGCAGCCCCCGAAAGTCGCGACAGTTGCCCAGCCGCGGCTCCCGCAGGTCCGACGTGCTCCGAGACAGGTAGGTGAAGCAAGATTGTGCGGGTCCGAAGGACATCTGCGTCAACGACCTGCATAGAATGCCACTCCGTTGGGCCCCCCATAAGCTCACGAAGGTGGCCGCAAATTCGCTGTGCGCAGCCCCCATCGACGGCGAGGTCTCATTTGATCTGAATGAGACACCACTCCATTGGATACGCCGGCAAAGCTCCAAAGTGGCAACAGTTTCGACGCCCGCAGCCTCCAGCGGCGGCGTTGTCCCATCTGATTTGAAACAGACGCCACTTCGCTGGACCCGCCAGCATCCACCGACATCGGCGACAGTTTGGCAGTTCGTAGGCCCCGACGACGGCAAGGCCACAATGCGCCACTCCGCTGGAGACCCCAGCAGCGACCGCAAGTGGCGACAGTTTCCCAGTTCGCAGGCCCTAGCGACGGCGAGGTCCTATCCCATCCGAATAATACGTCACTCCGCTGGAACCCCCAGCAACCACCGAAAATGACGACAGTTTCCCAGATCGCAGCCCTCAGTGACGACGAGGTCTCATCATAACTGAATAAAACGCCGTCCCTGTGCGTCGCAAGCAGCTTTCGATGGCGGCGGCAGAATGGCAGGGCGCAGTTCCCAGCGGCGGCTAGGTTCAATCTGATTTCGTGAGACCTCATCCTGTTGCAGCCCCCCCAGCAGCCGTCGAAAATGGCGCCAGGCTGGCAGTTCGCAGCGCCCAGCGATGGCGAGGCCTCCTAATTGGAATAAGACGCCGCTTCGCTGGCGCTCGCAACTCGCAGCCCCCAGCGACGGCGGGGTTTCTCATCTGATCTGAATACAGCGCCACTGCGCTGGACCCCGTTGCAGCCCTCGGAAGTGGCGACAGTTTCCTTGTGCGCAGCCCCCAGCAAGCCTTCGCCGGATGGCGAGGCAAGAGAAAAGAGGCAAGAGGGGGGAGCGGAGAGGATGCAGGGCAGGAGGCAGGCAGGAGGCAGGAAGAGGGTGGCGGGAAGGAGGAGGCGCGACCCCAGCGCTCTCTGTCAAAACGAGAACCGAACAGAGGAAGGTTGGGAAGTACCCTGGCGAGGTACCCTAACATATGCAGTCGCTAGCGTCGTTGTTGTGCACATCGCCTTTGGTGGATTTCTCCATGGGGCCACGAAGCGCGTAAAGGGTGTGCCGAGATGGGCGGGGGAGGGCGCGCGCGAACACCGCCATTGGGGCATCCGGTGGAGCTCCGCATGGGGTTACATGCGAACGTCGCCACTAAGGCTTTCGGTGGAGTTACCTATGGGGCCACGAAGCGCGTGGCGACGTGCCGACATGGGCGGGGAGGACGCATGCGAACGTCGCCGCTGGGGCATTCGGTGCAGCTCCGTATGGGGCCACGAAGCGCGTTGGGTGCGTGCCGACATGGGCGGGGGGGGCGCGTGCGAACGTCACGATTAGGGCCTTCGGCGGGGCCCCGTACGGGGCCACGAAGCGCAGAGGGGTGTGCCGAATTGAGCGGGGTGGGGGGGCGCATGCCAACGTCGCCACTGGGGCATTCGGTGAAGCTCCCAATGGGGCCACGGAGCACTGTGTTGGGCGGGGCGGACAAATGCGAATCTCGCCATCGGGGCCTTCGGTGCTACCCATGGGCCAGTGAAGCGGCGCGCTGGGCAGGGCTGGCGCATGCGAGCCTCGCCACGAGGGCCTGCGGTGGAGCCACCCATGGGGCCACGAAGCGCTGTGCTGGGCGGGGCGGGCGCATGCGAACGTTGCAACTGGGGTCTTCGGTGGGGCTCCCAAATGGGGCCACTAGACGTTGTATTGGGCGGGGCGGACACTTGCGAATCGTCGCCAATGAGGCCTTTGGTGGAGCCCCCTGTGGTGGGCCACGACACGCGGTATTGGGTGGGGCGGACGCATGCCTTCGGTGGAGCTCCCTATGGGGCCACGAAGCGCTGGCGGACGCATGCGAACGTCGCCACTGGGGCATTCGATGGAGCTCCCTGTGGAGCCACGAAGCGCTGTTCTGGATGGGCCGGCTTCATTCGAACGTCACAACTGTGGCTCACCATTGTGGCATTCGATGGAGGCCCTTGAGGGGCCACCATGCGCTGTTCTCGATGTGTCGGTTTCATGCGAACGCCGCCACTGGGGCATTCGGTGGAGCTCCTTATGGGGCCACTAACCGCTGCAGTGGGTATGGCGGGCGCAAGCGAACGTCTCCACCAGGGCCTGCGGCGGAGCTCTTTAAAGCTTAAGGGCCACGAGCCGCTGTGCTGGGCGGGGCGGACACATGCGTTCGCCGCCAGTGTGGCCTCCAGTGGAGTTCCTTGTGGGGTCCCGGTGTGCTGTATTGGGTGGGGCGGACGCGGACGCATGCGAACGTCGCAACTGGGGCCTTCGGGGGAGCTCCCTATGGGGCCACGAAGCGCTGTTCTGGGTGGGGCGGACGCATGCGAACCTCGCCACTGGGGCCTTCGGGGGAGCTCCTAATGGGGCAACGAAGCGCTGTAATGGGTGGGGCGGACGCATGCGAACGCCGCCACTGGCGCTTTCGGTGGAGCTCCCTAAGGGGCTACGGAGCGCTGTACTGGGTCGGGCAGGCGCGTGCGAACGTCGCAACTGGGGCGTTCGGCGGAGCCCCCTATGGGGCCACGAATCGCTGTAATGAGTGGGGCGGACGCATGCGAACGTCGCAACTTGGGCATTCGGTGGAGCTCCCTATGGAGCCACGAACCGCTGCACTGGGTGTGGCGGACGCATGCGAACGTCGCCACTGGGGCCTGCGGTGGAGCTCCCTAACGAGCCACGAAGCAGTGAGGGGTAAGGCATGCAAGCGTGTGAAGCGTGTGAAGGGCCTCTCTTCTCTCCTCCTCCTCTTCTCCTTTTCTTCACGCTTGCAGCGTGCTCGTTCCTTTTTCGGGCCGCGGTTCATTGCATGACTTTACCTATCGCAGGTCTGCCCTTGTAGTGTTCCCAGTTTGCTGGGCCACCTTTAGATTCGCACAGCGGGCGGGGACGAGTCCGGTGAAGTTCTGTGATCGCGTTCAAGAGAAATCAAGCGTGTGAGGGGTGTACCAGACAGGATGATATGCAGAAAGCAGAGGCACGCAGGGGAGGAGGGAGGAGGGGGAAGAGGAGGGGGAGGAGGAGAACGCGGGGCGCTGCCTCTTCAAAACGAGTACCCAACAACACAGGATGGGTGGGGGAAAAAAAAAACAGACGGGATCCTCCATCCCTCGTTCACCCCCGCAGCCAGAACGCCTTCAGGCCGATCCCCCGAACCTTCGAGGGCACAATCCTGACCCGCTTTCCGAGCTGTGCCCACCGATGGCGACGAGGGGTGCCCCCGAAGACCTAGGAGAGCAGGAGGAGCAGGATGGACCTCCACAGGGCCTTCCAGGGCCCCACTTGGCAGGGTCCCACCCATAGGGCTCCAATGGGGTTGTCCCACCCAGAGGGTTCCACACACTTGGTATGGCCCACACATGGGGTTGTTGCTGATGGGCCGCTCCCGATGCACGTATCGGTAAGAAGAAGACAAGTATACATATCTCATCTCGTTCCTTCCCAGGAGGGAGGGAAACGAACAGGAGTGGGGGGAGGGAGGGGGAAGGAGGTGGATCCGTATCGCCAGATGCTGGCCCACCCGTACGGCCTGTACGGTAGGTTTCA